ATATAGAAACTGTCAATTCAATTCATTAAGTGCAGGTGTAGTAGCAAACATGCTATATAAAAATACAACTTTATCCACATGCACAAAAAGCTTGGAAAGTGAACTTTAGATAAATATTCATTTCATAGAAGCTTAAAGCTACAGGTTCTTTTAACTAGCAAGCATCAGTGGAGCATTAAAAACAATTTAATTCACAAAATTGCATTTTACACACATGGGTTTTAGGTAATAAATGTAATTTGTAAATCAAGAAACAGTTTAATAATACTTTTCAGTTTTAATTATCAGGTTTAATTTGTCTATAAATACTCAAATAATGTTGTACAATGAAAATGCAAATATCTAGAGTTAGAACAAATTAATACTATTCATTTTTCCTGCTATTCTTTCTTATAAAATAAAAACTCATCAAATTCCTCCAAAAGGAATTTATACTTAACATGATCATTAAGTATTAAAAAAAAATTACATATAAGTCAGTCCAACTTGGAAGCTCACTGGTTTTTCTTTTTCTTTTGATACTGAAGTATCATTGATATACAGTCTTACATTGGTTTCAAATGTACAACACAGTGGTTCAACAGTTACCATTTTATTAAATCTTCACCCTCTCTCATGCGGTTACTATCAATGTACAAAGATGTTACAGAATCATTGACTATATTCTCCATGCTGTACTACAGTACCCATGACCAACTTATACTATGACTGAGAATTATTGTGCCTCTTTATTCCCCTCACCCCCACATCCCACACCTGCCCCAACCCCTTCCCTATGGTAACCACTAGTCACTTCTCAGTGTCGGTTTTTCTAATTAACAGTTTTAAGTTGTTTGATTAACAGTTTTCAGTTGTTTGATTTCTTACTGTAATATGCAGAACCAGAATAAAATTTAAATTCAGAAAAGCAACCTGTTGCCAAAAAGGAAATACAGATAACCCCCCCCAAATTTTAATCTGTTAAGTCATTAACCAAATAATTTAACTGAAATGCGGAAAAAAAGATATTAAAATACCAAAGAAAGCCACTCTAAATTGCTCAAATTCTAGAATGGCTAATTTTAGAATGACAACAATTGAAAAAACATTCTGGAATTGAATATACGTACAGGTTAAATATAATCCAACCAGTTAAAAACATGTCTTTTTGGGTCAACTTACTCTAGTTTCTTAAAATGTGCTAACTGCATATATATATATTTGTTTGACTACAGTCTCCCCAACTTGGGAGGAAGTGTCAAAAGAATGTAATAGTGTGCATGTATCTGCTTGGTTCCACTTCAACTAGAAGAGCATCCACTAATATACCCTATCTTGAAATGAGTTCTAATAAGGGCAGCATTTCTGCAAGCCAGAATTCTAAACTGAGTATTCTTGCAAAAGAAGGAGGATGTGCTTACCGTATACAGCTCGTTAAGAACCTTCACTAAATCCTCATGAAGTTGGAATGCAATCTCCTTGCTCTGTAATTAAGATAAAGAAAGAATATTTTTAAAAATGTAATGGAAAAATTTTTCTAAATCATGTACATCTTAAAAAGTCCACTGACCAAAACTACAAAATGCATGTAAAACAACAGAAGGCTATCAGAGTCCTGACATAATAAACACCTTTGAACAAATGGCCCTTTCTAAATACTAGCTACCTGCACCAACAGTCACCATAGAGGCAAACAAATGGACAGTCTGATGACTCTCCTACTATCCAAGATGAGAGAGAATACAAGTAAGCAGGGTGAAGCACGTGCATGCTCAGAAGCTGAGTTGCAGAATGAAGTCATTCAAAGATGAATTCCAGCATCCTGTCTCCCCTCTTAGTATCATCACAAAGGAACTTGAAGTATGATTTCCAAAATGCTAATTTAGAAACCAAAAGGGGAATTAACTCTCCCTTTCTGAAATAACTAGCTGACTGGTTACAATTTTAACTTTCAAAGCAGTGAGATGTTAAGACCACGTACGGCCCACCTATTTTTTGCCCCTGCATTTATTTATTTATTTTTCATTAAGACAAAAAAGAGAGTTTATGCTTCCAGTCATTGGTAAATAACAGCATTTAAAATATTCTTCCCCAGGCTAATTCTGAGAGTTTGATAGAGGAGTACTTGAATAATTTTCTTCAGCAAAATATATAAATTATTTTAAGGGAAATTATATATCCACATTACATATTTTCTGTTTTGAGTTCATTATGTAGTCAGCTATAGGGAATGGAAAAAACGTGCAGTGTGACTTAATCTACAGATTGAGATACTAACAATATCCATTGGTTCATCTGTGTGTCTTCTTCTAGACTGTCAGGGTATACTGGGGGTATGGGCCATGCCTTTGTCAGCTGTGGCCCTGGTCCTGCACTGTGCTTGGGCTCAAGGCCAGGACTAGGGTGGGGCAAGAGAGGCACTAGGGTATGGAATTTAAGGAGATACTCATGCTCACCCTGGCCCAGGTCCTGCTTGGGCACATAGGAAGCTTTCAATAAATACTCATTAATAAATCCAAAAATGAGCTGAAACACTGTGTGTGTGTAATAGCTGAAGTAGTTACTACATTTGCTGAGAGCTGGCCACTGGTGAGGAGGCAGAAAGGAAGGGCCCACAGACAACTCTTAAGAAAATACTAGGATGCAGATGAAACAGAGTCTCTCTGCAAACACAAGGTCAGGGGGTCAGGCCACCCTCCAAAAAGGCCAAATGCAATGAAGTGAAAACCTGTGGAAGATCAAACAGTGTTAGACGATGACATCAGAGCAGTATCTAAACTTTGAGAAATTCAAATTTGCTGCCAGTCTTTGTCGCTGGGGTTTCCTGGAGTGATAAAGAGTGCTGTTACTTACCAAGTCCCGACAACTTTCAAAATCCCTAAACTGGAGTTAGAGATTTTATATTTTGCTGGGTCCCTCATATGTGAAAAGAGGGGTTATGAATCAACTCAACAGTGAAAGTCAAGTCACTAGTGAGCAAACGAAGGCAACCGAAACTCCCTTTAGTTTCCCTGTCTTGTTATTCTGACCATATCCATTACACTGCAATCTCCTGTGACTTCAGCTTGGTGTTTTTTTAATATCAGGTATCACCAAAGGATCTGGGCCACCAATTCAGAACTCTAATGGGATCAAAGGGCACCAACTAACTGCCCAGCTGCCCACATTTCAGGTAGCAAGTCCAGAAAGAAAATATTTCTTGGCTAAGACTTTAGAGCAATAACAACAAAAAAGAAACCCCGAAAGTCCAATTAGCCCCAAGCCAAGAATATTTAGAATCAGATTAAATAGTTAGGTTTGGAGTGATAAGGCTCTTGTCCAAGCTATCCTTGGTCAAATATCTTAGAACAAGTGAGAGGATTCTTCATATATTTCACAGTTTACAAGATTTCAGGTAATGAAGGAGAAAACAATCTGGCATCATAGCTCAAACTGCTCTGCCAAGCATACTCGCTTTTCTTTCTCCTTTCCCCAGAGGCCCTGAAATATAAAAAATCTGTCTGGGAGGCAGTATAGTATAATGCTTGACAGCCAGGACTCTGGAGTCCGAGGGCCTCGGTCTCAAGTCTCAATGACCTTGGGTTTCCTTGTGGCTCAGTTTTAGATCTGCAGAATGAATGGAGTCATTGGGCCTATTTTGCATGGTTTATGACAGCATTCATCAGAGTCACACAAGGCACGTCAAGCAGTCCCTAACACATAGTAGACATCCCATAAATGCTGTTAAGTACTTAATTCTTTCCCAGATATTGTTTGTAATGACAACTCTCTTGAGTGAAAAGGCCCTGTGGTATTTTTCTTTCTTTTGGTCTCTAAGGATGCTTGTTCCATTTATTTCCATGTTGGAAGTGCTTGATAGATACTGGTTGATTTAATTTTGATGTCCCTCCCCATTGCCCTGGCCTTTAGATCCCTCCAAGTGACCCCTGATTTGGGAGGGTCCTAAAGCCCTTGGCTTTTTCTTATATCCATACTCCCTTGCCATATATGCACACTAAATTTATCTTTCTATGTTCCATTTTTGTGGAGATCCTATTCCTTGTGGTACTAGATGAATTAATCACATCATCACTTATCAAGCCAATGTGATATATACAACTCATGAAAGAGACCCCTTATGCAACCAGAATCCCATGGGAATTTTATATTTTGGGAAAAGTTGGTGGGGAGTTCCTTTCAAATATATACACCCCTGGCTATCCTCATGACACATCAAAGTATTTGCACACTTTAAATCAGTCTAAACTCTCCATGGTCTCATAAAATAACCTTGAAATTAACTGCTGTCCTCTCACCATTACTCTTTTAGTCTGCAAGCTTTGTTAAAGAACTGGACTGCTCTGAAGCAGTTGTTCATGTGAACGGAATACGCACACTCTTGTATTCACAAATAGGTGGGCTGTACACAACATCAAGGGCTAGTCTGAGTGCTGGCAGCACAGCGCCAGTACTCATGGCATGGGAGGAAGGGAAAGGATGACCCCAGGTTACCCCACCCCAACTTTAAACATGTCTACCACTTATTAGAGTAATAGTGAAAAACAACCTTCTCTTCTAAATACTACCCTAGACCCCAAAAGAAGCAATCTTAAACCAAACCATGCCCACTGTGGCACTCAGTTAATATGCTGGCACACTAAGGAACTGAAACCCTCTAAGTGGACAATATCGGGATTATCAAAAGCCCATCAAATTTAATAGGTTAAATATGCCTCCGGATTTTGTTTCATTAAAAATTTGGAAACAGTGAAAGCAGATTCTTAATGCTTGAACAAGAACTGCTGAGTAAAAAATTAATACCAGTATTAAGGAAAGCAACAAAGGGTCCCTTTGTAGAGGAAAAAATAACTTCATGAAATGATATATGTTTGAAATGAAGTGTTTTCTATGTTATTTGAGATTGGCTGGTTAAAATTAGTCCTGCATAGAGTCCCGTCAACTGCTTCAGGTATGGAGTTAGAAATAGGAACAATTTTTTCAGCCCATTAATGCAATCTATATAAGTTCAAGTAATGGTAAAAATTCTCATACACTGCAATAGGATTCTGGGATTCTGAGCCAGGGGAAAGGAAATGGTTAGAACTTCAATTCAGTAGACATTTATTAAATGTGTCCAATATGTAAGCCTAGAATTTTTTTAAAAATTTTATTTTGGTATCATTAATCTACAATTACAGGAAGGACATTATGTTTACTAGGCTCCCCCTTCACCAAGTCCCCCCTACATCCCTGTTCACAGTCACTGTCCATCAACATCTAGTAAGATGTTGTAAAATCACTATTTGTCTTCTCTGTGTTGCACAGCCCTCCCCGTGCCCCACCCCACACTATACATGCTAATCATAATGCCCCCTTTCTTTTTTTCCCTCCCTTCCCACCCGTCCTCCCCAGTCCCTTTCCCTTTGGTAACTATTAGTCCATTCTTGGGTTCTGTGCTTCTGCTGCTGTTTTGTTCCTTCAGTTTTCTTTTGTTCTTATACTCCATATATGAGTGAAATCATTTGGTACTTTTCTTTCTCCACCTGTAAGCCTAGAATTTAATACCAAGCCTATTTCTAACTGTTCATTATTGTCACTTTGATGTTCTGATACTTCAAAACAGGTCCCAAATTAACAGCCCTAAAGTTTTTAGCTTTTTCCATTATAAAAAAAATTTAATATATGGGAGACTATTGCAAAAATAGAAAACAGAAGGACAAAACAACTACTATAATTATTTGATGTATTTCTTTTAGGTTTATCTAAACATGGTTCTGAGGTATAATCATTCTATAATAATAGGGTGCCTTTTTCTACTCTGCTTTTTTCTTCAGTTATCATAAAATTTTCTACATTCTTAAATAATTTTCTGAACTATCATTACTGAATTCATAACTACCCAGTGAATGTTTATTAATCAGTCTTCCAGTATGGTTTCCAATGTTTCCACAATTTTCCATCAATCATTCAATCATTTATTTACTTATTCATTCAATTTCACCAATATGGTTTAAGCACTGAATTATATCACAAATGCTGGTCTAAAGGCATATCTTGTATTTTATGTTGTTTCCTTAAGATTGATTTCCAGACATGAAATAACTAGGGTAAAAGGACTGACATTTTTAAGGCTCTGCATACATATCAGAAGACTATTTTCTAAAAGGGTTCTAATGAATTTATATTGCTTCCAGGACAATAGTGTTTCTCACGTCATAATCTTGGATTCATTCGAGACTTGCTTCTTCTCTTTGAAAGGAAGTCACCATACTATCTATTCTGGCTGATCCATATTCTGTATGTCATCAGAATTAAAAACATAAAAATAAAGATCTAATTTTGTCCTGCCTCTGTGCAAACCCCTCAAAGAGTTCAAATTTCCAAAATCACCCATAACTTCCCCTGCCTAACTCATCTACTTCACTCCCACAAGCCTCAGACTACATCCTTCCTCCTGGTCATCAGCTGCTAACTCATAGGTCCCGCTTCCACATCCCTGTGCTTT